GAATGGCAGTGATGTGCGGCGGCGGGCAGGTGTGGGCACGATGTGACCGGAATTGGAATATCTGACAGCAGCGCTGCAGACAGCAGGGTGGCCCTGAGGGGACGCAGACAGCTTGGGGAGCGGGGGTCCCCTTGCAGGCAGTGGCCAGCACCCTAGGGGGGCTGGGAGCAGGCTCGGCCCCGGGACCCCTGCAAGCTCCTCTCCACCCCGGCTGAGAGCCAGCTTAGCCTCTCTCTGGGCTCCTGACCACGGTTGTGGGGTCCACCCCGAGACCCCAGGAGAGATGGGTTACCTGGGGCAGACCCTCATCACCAAGGGAGGAAGACCCGGTCCTGAGGGTCGAGGGTGGAACGCTGAGCCAAAGGCACGTACTGTAGGAGCTGAGCTCGCATCCTCCCCGAGGTCAGGGTATCTGAATTACTGACATCTGGGCGGGAACAAGCCAGCTCTACGACTTAACGCAAGCTCTGCGATTCGCAGAACCAAATTGCGTTTCTGTGCCTCAGTGTCCTCTTCTGTAAAATGAGGGGTGACCGGAACACCCACCTCAGAGGATTCACTGAGCAGGTGATCACGCAGCTGTGTGACTCGGGCCAGACGCTGCACCTCTCTGAGCCACAGCCCCACCTGTGGACTGTAAAGCCCCCTGACACACCGTGGGCACTGGGTAAGGGTCACTTCCCTCGGACTCCCCCATTCTAGCCCTGGTTCATCCACCATCCTCATAAGTGACCGTCGTCATCACTGCCCTCACCGTGGACTAACTTTTTTAATCCTTCACCACCTCGCGAGATGGGCGCCATTGTCGCCCTCCTCGTCTCCAGGGAGGAAGCAGAAACCCAGAGAGGTTAGGTGCCTTGCCCAAGACCACACAGCTCAGGGATTGAGCCAGGGTTGAAACCAGGCAGCTGACTGCAGCCTGGGCTCTTCACCACGGCACTGTACCCCCGTGCCAGCCTGGTCTGCCTCTGCCCATTGTCTTTCAAATGTGGAAATGCAGCCCTGCTCTTTGAGCCCCAGGGGAGGGCTCGAGGCCACCCTCGCACCTGTTCCTGTGATGGTGCGAGCCTGTGCAGCCCTCCAGGTACGTCTCTGACTGAGCCTTCATCTGAGTCCTCATGGCTCAGCCATCCATCTTTCTTTGAGATTTAAGTTCTAAGCTCTCAGAATTCAATGACAAAATTAAGTCAAATGATCAATCACTGAATCCTCACCACCACCCTGTGACCCATGGGTGCTGCCCTTTTCCCCTCACCTTGCAGTTGAGGAAACTGAGGCTCAGGGCCGGACTCCAGGCTCAGCGGGGGACTTCCCCAGAGTCACCGAGCTCAGAAGAGGCTGGCGTGGGGTCCCTGCCAGGTCCTTCTGACTTTCAACCCCGAGCCCCAGACCACCAGCCAAGGCCCATGAGAGGAAGCCCGGTGCTTTTGTTCGCTGAGCAGAGCACTGACTAGAACCTTCCCCGCACCGGGCCCTGGGGTCTGTGGGGAGGAGAGCAGGCACAGCCCCTGCCCCTCAGAGCCCACAGGCTGGGTGGGGAGCACATGGACAATACTGAGGTGGGGGGACGTCCTGGGAGCACAGACCAGATGCCCAGCTCTGATGGGGCATGAGTGTGTGTCTGTGATGTGTGTGAATGGACAGGAAAGCCATGGGTCACGTGGTTGTCTGTAGCTTAGCCTTCTGAAGGCTGTGTCCCCAGCACAAGCCACCACCTCTGCTGGTCCACACAGCAGCCAGGGCACGTACTCCGTGTCCTCCAGGCACCCTCCCCGCCACGCCAGCTCTTTTCCTGATACAGGACAAAAACAGGTAGTTTTTCAAAGCTTCAGCCTCTGACCCATGGAGGGAGGTGTATCTTCACAAACAGGCCTGCATTCATCCATGACATAAATGTGACGTACTATCAGGCGAAGGGCTGGAAGGTAGAGCAAGGACAGGGCACCGGAAGTGGAGGGGACGACCTGACAAAGTGACAGTCATGCTGCCCATGTCACTGGGTCCTTATGAGGACGAACCGAGATGAACTGGCCAGGGGCCTCAGCATAGTAAGTGCTCAATAAACGGCCTGTGATGGTGATTATTGGTTTATTGCATTGCTATCCACAGTCCCATCAATTCTTAAACAGATGCGGGGGCCGCTCCAAATCCCCCAATCTAAACTGCAAAGACAGGCGATATTCACTAGGGACCGTGGGTGGGGGGGAGACGTAGCCAACCCGCAGCTGCTGCTAATTTTTATTTGCATCTCAAGTGGGCCCTGTGCCTCGGAGACATAGGGAGGCGAGCGAGGGTTCGGTGGGCACGCAGGGCGCTTGCCTCCGTCTGAGGGCTCCCAGTCCTCTCTGCGCCCCTCTGCCCCCACCCCACCCTCCGTGGGGTGGTAAGGGTTGGCCATCGGCGCTCAGGAGGCTCAGCCCACTGTCTCCCCGGAGACACCGGGTAGTTTCTCATTTTCCCCTTGAGCAGTTTCACAGCCCAGTTAAACCTACAGCGAAGGCTCGCTGGGATGGAGACCCGGGTTCAGGGAAGGAGGCGGGTGAGGGAATAAATACACCCAATGCTGGCCGCTGCCCCCACCAGCAACAACTGAAACCACCAGGAAGAGCTCCGGGGAGAAAGTGGTTTACAAATACCAGCCCCGGTCCTTCCCGGGACCCAGCATGAGTGTTCACCAAACATGTAAATATTTCCAGCACATAGATTCCACTTAGCACATTTATTTTGCAAACTGGGCAACGAACTGTACAAAAGAGACCCTGTTCCAGCTCCTTGTCTTTTAAAGCAGAGGTTTGACAACCCTAAACCTAGGAGAGGTTTATTCCCCCTAAAGTGTGGTTCAGCCGCAGAATTCTGATTGGGATACTCCAGTGGCCAGCCAGGGTCTGGTCATCTCTCGTTTATCAGGCTGTGTTAAGAGTTAGAAGTGCTCCTGTTGAGACCCTCCCCTGACCCATATTCGCATGAATACTGCCTGTCCATAACCGTGTGAGTGGGGCTCATATGCCCATTTTCCAGATGTAGAAACTGAGGCTCAGAGCCGTGTAGTGGCTTACCCGGGGTGACACCGCTCAGAAACAGCAGAGCCCAGCTACAGGGCCCGGGGTCTGTCTGACTTCAAAGCCACTACCCTTACCAGAAAATACCCTGATGGTGGGAGCAGTGAGAGAGAGAGGCCCCACGGCCCCCATCATCTCAGAAACCGTCTCCTGTCCGGGCTCCAGGCAGTGCCGGGCTGTGCAGTTCTGACAGCATCATTTTACCTTCGGGCTCACTGGTCCCTTTTATAACTTGCTTTCAATCAGCGTGAGCAGCTGGGATGAGATCGTCTCTCAGGGGTCGGCCAGGCCCACAGGCAGGGCCAGGTGCCGCATATGGGCATCTCCAGGTGCTTGCTTTCCCCGCCAGGACCCTGGGAGCAGATCTGACCGGGGCCGTCCAGGCAGGGCTGCACCAAATCCAGCTTTGTGGGGCCTCAAAGCATCAAAAGCTTTGGGGGTGGGGAAGCCCCACCATACCCCACCCGCCTTTGCCCAACAGTCCCCAGTCCCATGATCATTCTTGTAACAGAATCGTCCAAGCCGGACCTCGTGGCTTCTCCTTGTGGGTTTCTCTCTTGAGCCTCCGTGCCCCTTGCTGTCCAGGCCTCTGCTCAGATGTGGCCTCACTGGGGAGGCGTTCTCTTCCACCGTGTACGAAGTCGACTCTTCATTTTCTTCCTAGCCCTTGCCACCCTCTGACGTGCTTTCTATTTGTCCTTCGTTCTTCCTCTTCCAATTAGAAGGTTCCACGAGGGCCCGTGAGTTATCTTGGTCACTGCTGAGTCCTCAGAGCTCAGAACAGTGCCCAGGACAATGGTGTTTAGATATTGAGCGAGGCATCTGTTAGGTAAGGAGAGAGTGGGGTTTTCCCTTCTTCCATCGGAAGAACCCTGCAAGGTGAGTCTTATCCCCACTTGACAGAGGAGAAGACAGAGGCCCCGGGGCTGGGTGTGGAGACACTGAAACCATTCCCTTGCACAAATGCCCCATTTTGCCCTTCAGTGGTGGCCGGAAATTTTCTCCTCCTCCACCGAGGAGGGGCGTCGGACTTTGCAAACCACTGCTTTCCTAACAGAATAAAAGCAAACAAGAAGTGGGAAACAGGTCGGCCTGCATGGCTTCAAGCCCCAGGCGGGGCCCAGCCGCTGTCTGTCTGTGCCCGAGTGGAGCGGCTGGGGTCTGGGGTTTTGCTGGCAGACGGAGGGCTGAAGTCTGTGCCTGGACTTAGTTAGAATTCAGCCCTTAGATCGCTCCCTTCTCTCTGATGGCTGCGAGTGATTGACACTTACAAATTACCCAGCCGAAAGTGTCGAGTCTTTGACCCCTGAGTAACATCTTTGGCAAGCCTGAGATTTGCCAGCATTTTGTCATCTAATTACTACAAATCCCTTGAAAATTCACTGGCTGGTGAATTTTTAATGCGGGGCAATTTCAATGTGATGCATTGCCCAGATGGGTTCTTGCGTTTCTCCCCTCTCTCTCTCCCTCTCTCTTTCTCTCACTCTTCTCTCTCTTTCTCTCTTTCTCCATCCCTCTTTGCTGAACTTGAATCATCTCACAAACTTTCGGATGGGCTTGTGACGGGAGCCCTGAGCATCTGGGTGGAGCTGGTGGAGGCTGTGGGGTCTTGGCATCTGAGCGTTTCCGTGCCCTGTTCTTTGGAAATGTGCACACGGGCGATCACAGGAAAATGCCTCCCTCCTGCCTCCCAGACAGCCTGTGGGTCTACCTGCTCCCCTAAGACTCCCCCAACTAGCACAACAGACTGGGCAGCAGTGATACTCCAGTCTCCTTCACGACATACCTTGCAAAGCCGCTTCCCCGGGGCAGGTAGGCTGGTGACTTTGCAAGGTTGGTTCCTTTCACGTTAAATCTTGGGCAAAGCAAGTGTTTCACATTCTTCTTATTATTATTATCATTATTATTATTATTAATACTAGTATTTACCTTGTTCTTTAGCTCGTTGGATAATAGCGCCCACCAGGGCAGGGGAAAGACGGCTGCCTTTCGCGGAACAGAAGAGACTGTACCTGCCACTCGGTGCTTGGACAATCTCCTGCCACTTCAGACCCCTGAGGTCTGCAAGCCGGACCTGCTGTTTCCAAGCACCTCACTGACCTGCCTGTGCTGCCAAATGAACTTGGAACTTCGAACCCCCAGAAGCCAGCACTGAGGGCTTGATCCCCATGGGAGCAAAACCTATCTCCACACCACGAGTGGAAAGGGGCCGGGGGCAACAAGAAACCTGGCTCCCTTTATTTTTTTCCTTTTTCTCACCTTTGATATGTATATCGGATTCTTATTTCTAAATACAAAAGCAAGGTGCCTTTTCAACTTTGTCCCCCCATGAGCCCTCTGCGCGGACATTTTCCTCGGTGACAAGGCAGAGGGCGGAAACCGCGGTAGCAGGCATGTTCTCGCTGTTGACCTCCTCGAGATAAGCCTCCGCCAGCCCGCTCCACCCCCGCCCCCTTCCCCCTATTCAGGGAAAGGAGGTTTTGCTTTTCCGCCCCCCGTTTCTGGTTACATATGTACACGGCTGATAAAATATTCCACTTCACCCCTTCTCCCCATGGGACCTGCCGTCTTACGGGAAAAGGGTTTGTATGACAGCGACCACGACAGCCTGCGTGTCGCCTGGAAACCGCGGTGGGAGGAGGGGGCCGTCTCTCTCCGGCTCCTCTTTATTCAGCTCCCCTCTCCTGGTTCTGATAACTGCATCGCTGGAGAGAAAAGGCCGGCACTGCCTCCGTGGGCCCCAGCCGAGGCCCAGATGGTCGCCCACCTCTCCTTGAGAAGGGAGATGCTTTCAAGGTCCCCACTGTTGCTTGCCTGGCAACACCCACCTCCCGTGGACTTCACCTGGGGTCACCCAGACATGCTTGAGCCCACTCTCCCTGGACACCCTCAAAAGTTGGAGCCACAGCAAAACCTGGCTGGGGGAGGTCCCGAAGAAGCAAACTTGGCTGATGGGTAGAACCCAGCAGTTGGAGAAGGGGCTGGGCCTTGTACACGGAGAGAGGGTTGTCATGGCTGCCTGAGGTGGTCCAGGAAAAAAAGCAGCTAAAGCATCGTCTGGACTTCTACCCAGAGGGGCTCTTGAAGTGATTCAGATGCTGCCTCTGCAGACACTGATTCCTGCTTCTCTCTCCACCCACTTGGCTCTCTCATGTCTCCCATCACATGTAACTGACATTCCAGAATATTCCAGAGGCAAAAGCGGGGGGTGGAAGCAAACATCCTTAAGCTTCTTCCTGAGACCTCCTTTTCCAGAAAGCAACAGCCGACTTTGCCCTGAGTTCACAGGAGCAGGGCCTTTGCACCCAGCATCCTGAGTGGTGCCTCTGCCATGCCCCACCCCCTTCAAAGGGCCTCCACTCAGCGTAGACGTTTGCCGAGCTCATGATGGGCCAGGCGCCAGGCTCGGTGCTGAGGGGCAGAGCCACAGACCCTGTGCTAAGAAGACCTTCGACTAGGGGGTGGGGTTAATAAGACAAAAATGGATCGCAAAAAGCTTCACATGGGAGGTGGGGCGTGTTCTGAAAGACTGGAAGAAGGTGGGGTTCAGGTAGGGATGCAACAAGCGTTTAGTAAGCACCTAGTAGGTGCTCGGCACCACGGTGGTCAAGATGAGAGACGCATTGCCCGGCCTTGGAGGATTAGTTTATTTGAAATGACCTTTGCATCGAGATGACCTCTTAGAAGGAAAGCAACGAAGTGGGCAGGGCAGGGGCGACCACGGTGGCTGTCATAAGCGAGTAGCCACACGTGCACTGAGAGCCCTCCAGGCAGGCTGGGCAGTTTTTAGGCTGAGCCTTATCCAAACAAAGGTGCACATGTGTGTTATGTGTGAATTACAGCCTGGTCCCTCCGTGCCATGGGCCGATTAGCACGAGCTGGCAACACTGGCCTACATGGAAAGAAATGTGTAAAAGTAAGAGAACTGTGAATGACGAATTCTGTTACCTGTCCACTGGTGCTGCCATCTCCAGCCTCATGGTCCTCAAGGCTGAGGAATGAAGTAAAAAGGCTGGCAGGGAACCTGAGTGTGTCTTTATTTTCATCATGCTTCAAAATCCCACTGCTTTTCCCCTCTGGTTTTGTTTTACTTTGGAGTGTGTGTGTGTGTGTGTGTGTGTGTGTGTGTGTGTACACCCACGCATTTTGCTCCTAACAAGAGCCCTATTAGAACCATTTAAAGTTCTCAGCTTGTTTGAGCCATTGTTTCTACTTGACACCATCTGCCAACATTTCTGAGACTATCGACATTTTTTTTCCTCCTCCCTTTCACATATTCATTCCATAAATATTTATTGAGAGCCTGGCACTGCGCTGTGCATGGGAACGTGCTGATGGGACAGAAAGTTCTTACCTTCTTAGGTCTGATGGGAAAACAGACGATACTAAACCAGGAACAAATACATAATTTCAAGTAGGGATGAAGGGATGGAGAAAGGGCCGACTCCAGCGCGGGGGTCTGGGAAGGCCACTCCACGGAAGCAACATTTAAGCCAAAACTTGAAGACTGAAAAGAAACCCACCCGTGCATGCTGAAAACGGAGGTGGGGGAGCAGCAGCTCTGGCAGAGAGACAAGCGAGTTCAGAGGAAGCAGGGAGGTATTGTGCTCCGGGACTTAAAGGTGGCCAGGGTTCCTGCAACAGTGGGGGATGTGAAGAATGGACTGGAGAGATGTGTAGCCACACAGAAGCAGCTGTATAGGGCTTGCCATTCAGGTATTCCCCATCTCCTTTACCTTTGCTGCTTTCCACGGGCTTTCCCAGTCCCCCTGGCAGCTAGAAGTGTCTGGACCACAGTTAGCCAATCAGACCTAAGCAGAAATCGGCTAGAAGCTTTCCAGGGAAGTTTTTGTGTTCCTGATTTAAAAAAAAAAAAGAAAGAAAGAAACACTGCAGGCCCTCTTCCTTCTTCCTTTCTTTTTTTTTTTGCCTTTAACTCAGATGTGACGCCTGGAGCTGCAGCAGCCGTTTTGCAACCTTGAGGGAAAGGCCAAGGGCATGACAAAGAACTTGGGGCCACTTAATCAACGCTGGCTCCCTATCTCCAGACTTTTTATTATATGAAAAAGAATGGCCCCTATTTGTTTCAGGTACAGTTAGTTGGGTTTTCTGTTATTTGTCAAAAGCATTCCTGGGCTGGTACTTGGAGTAAGGGATTGGGGCTGGGGAGAGGTGAATAACAATAGAGGTGAGTCTGGGTTCAAAAGCAGCAGCCTTGAGATGCTATAATGGAGCACCAGGTGTGGAAGAGCCATGTTTGATGGTAAAAGGAACCTACTATTTACTCAAATGTCTCTAATTCAAGTTCAGTGTTCACTGGGAAAGGGCGAAGGAGATGTGAATCAAGACAGACACGGATCTTTATTTTACATGCGGTCCTCTCACTCCAAGGCAAGTGTGGTGGACAGACATCACCAATTGAGAAAGACGCTTTCTGGAGTTTATTCATGTGTCCATTGAACCCAGATGGGGAAAGGGCCAAAGGCGATGGGGAGTAAAACAAGGGTGAGAAGAAAGAAGGAGAAAAATTTTCTGCACAAGCCCTTGAAGAGGCCCTTGTGCTACCCCTCGGTTTCCAGGGTTTGAGGCACACTGTGACAATAAATGTTTTGTGGACTAGGAAAGAAAAATTACAAGAATGGACAAATTCTTCGCACAATGTTAGAAGAAGAAAAAAAATTGTATCCAGTGTTGTGCGTTCTCTCAAGAGGCCCACAGAAATTCTTGTTAAGTGAAGGCATGCCTTGAAATAGAAATTATATAATGGCCACCAACTCCAGCTTTCCTAGAGTTGAGGCCTCAAAAATTTGCATGGTTGAAAGCACATATTACACAGGATGGGGTTAATGTGCGACCCCTGGTTCCAAGAATCTGTCAGCAGGGCCCCCTTAATCTAGTCCCAGCCGAGGTCGAGGTCCTCAGAGAAGGACCCTGAGAAACCATTCTGAGGCCCAGAGAACACATCGTGCCCCAGGAGAGGGCACCAATGCTGAATACGCAGCTTTCTGCCTAAGCTTTGTGGCATGTTGACATTCAATCGGGCATCTGTTGAAGACCAACTATGTGCCTCCTGTCCTGGGAATCATCTAAGACCAAAGGGTTATTAACATAAAAAATGGATCTCAAAGTAGGTGCCAGAACTAAGAATCAAGAGCATCCTAACTGCCTCATTCTCTGCTGGGAGGTGCTCTCAGCTGCCCCTCAACCAGGACATGGCCATTCTACCCTAGAAAACTCCAGGTCCGGCATAAATGCTAAAGATCAATAAGTGTTAGCATCGCCTGGAACACTTCAGGAGAGAGCAGTGTGGAGACAGTACCCCCAAGGCCTTGGTGTTATTAAAAATACGAAGACTTCCAGGAGAGAAGCTACAGAGACGTGAACAAACCCTAGAACTTGGACTTGGTCCCATTCTCTCCCTGGACTTCAGCACGTTGGTCCTTCCTCCAGCTTCAGAGAGGCAGCTGCATAGTTTTCTAACTTCCTTTTCCTAACTCAAAATATTAGTAGCGACACATTTACCATGAAAAAATGGATTTGGGGTATAAAGTAAAAGTTGAAAGGAACAAAATATAATTAAAGTAAAAACACAGATACAAAAGGTCTGTAAAAATGTTCATAGCAGCTTTGTTTGCTATTAATAGAGGTGGAAGCAGCCCAAATGTGTGTCAACAGTATATTAGGTCAATAAATGGTGGCATGTTCACACGATTGAATAGTGCTCAGCAGTGAAAAAGAAATGACTGTCATACGAGGACTGACAACTTCGCGAACTTGTTGCAATGATGTTGCTAACCTTTTTTGATATCAGAGGGATTGTTCATTATGAATTTGTACCAACTGGACAAACAGTTAACCAAGTTGACTATTTGGAAGTGCTGAAAAGGCTGTGTGAAAAAGTTAGACGACCTGAACTTCTCACCAACAATTCATGGCTCTTGCATCACGACAATGCACCAGCTCACACGGCACTGTCTGTGAGCCAGTAAACAAATAACTGTATTGGAACACCCTCCCTACTCACCTGATCTGGCCCCCAATGACTTCTTTCTTTACCCAAAGATCAAGGAAATATTGAAAGGAAGACATTTTGATGACATTCAGGACATCAAGGGTAATGCAACAACAGCTCTGATGGCCATTCCAGAAAAAGAGTTCCAAAATAGCTTTGAAGGGTGCACTAGGCACTGCCATTGGTCATAGCTTCCCAAGGGGAGTACTTCGAAGGTGACCGTAGTGATAGCAATGAGGCATGTAGCACTTTTTCTAGGATGTTTTTACGAACTTAATTGTCAGACCACGCACGAGTACACAACAGCAAGGATGAATCTCATAGTGTTCATTGAGTGAAAGAAGCCATACCCAAAATTGCTGTGTGACTGACTTCATTGGTATGAAGTTGAAGAAGAGGCAAAATGAATGGATGGTGATGGAAGTCTGAATGATGGTCGCCCTTGGGGCATTAGTGGGGCAGTGACAGAGGGACTTGAGGGAAATGACCTATAACTTGATCTGGGGGGTGGTTACTTGAGTGTTTACACAGGTAAAAATGCATTGCAATGTGCACTTGAAATTACACCCTGGGTGAGAGTCAGCCCCTTCTATCACAGCCAGGTATGTTTCCGTACAGCAGCAGTTCTCAAACTTGAGTCTCAGGAACGCCTTTACAAGAGTGAGGACCTCCAAGGGCTGGCGTCTATTTGGGTGCTATCTATTGCTATCTACTGTTTAGAGGTTAAAACGGAGACATTTAAAATATTTCATTCACTGGGCTGGCCGAGTGGCTCAGTTGGTTAACAGAATGAGCTCTGAGCAACAGGGTCGCCAGTTTGATTCCCCCATGGGCCAGTGAGCTGTGCCCAAGCTGAGAGCTGCCACTGAGCTGCCAACAGGTGGCAGGATGGCTCAGCTGGTGAGAGCACATGCTCCTAACAACAAGGTCACAGGTTCGACTTCCGCATGGGATGGTGGCTACGCCAACCCACAACTAAGATTGAACACGGCACCTTGAGCTGAGCGGCTGAGAGCTGCCGTCAGGCAGTCAGATGGCGACTGGACTTGGAGCTGAGCTAGCTGCACCTTCCACAACTAAGATTGAAGGACAACTTGTCTGTTCCCCTTCCCCAATTCCCCAATAAAATCTTTAAATAAATAAATAAATATATATACATATATATATATATATATTTCATTCACTTAAAAATAGTAATAATAAATGTAGTGAGAAGAGGGGCAATGTTTGACATTTTTGCAAATCCCTAGAATGTCTGACTTAATAGAAAACACCCAGATTCTCAAATCTGCTTCTGGATTCAGTCTGATGTGATCTGTTGTTGTGGTCAAGGTGTATGAAGAAAATGGCCGCACTAAGATGCAAGGTGGGTAAGGGGGGGGCCTGGGGTACCCCCAGAGGGTCTCTGGGACTCCCAGCAACTCGGAACCCAGCCTTAGAGGTCTTGAGTCCAGGCCCCCCGAAGTAGACAAGCAAGTCTTTACAGAAAGCTGAGGGCTCATGTTAAGCCTCCATACTTTTAACTCTTGGGTTCATGACCATTTTGAGTATCTGATGAATGCTAAGAATCATTGCCAGGAAAGAAAACGATTTTGGGTGGGTGCACGAGGGGTGTGCACGTGCATCATTTCAGGGGCTTCACCAACCCCTTGAGGCCCATCTCGGACCTCAAAGTAACAGCTATGGGTTGGGGGGAGAGAGGTCTGTGAGGCGAAGGGTACAGAACAGCTGCTTTGCCCAAACCATCATCCACGGTGCCTTCTGGGCCCCAAACAAGAACACGGCCCCTCCTAATGCATTCGATGCAAAGTCACATCCGGAGCTAACAGTAATAACATCTGTGTGGCGGGAGTCTTTATGTCATGCCAGACGCTGTATGTGGTTTATACACGTTGTCTAAGTTGCTCCTCACAAGAGCCCTTGATGTTGTTTTCATCCCCATTTTACAGATGCTGAAACTGGGACCCAGAGAGGCAAAGTCACTGGTCCAAGGTCACACAGCACAGCCAAGATTAGACCAGCTC